AGCAGCTCTCTGGTTTTTATACTGCATCAATGACCGCTGTGACACTGGTCTACGGTCCTACAGTAGTGTGGCAAGCCCTAATCCACGTTTATTCCATGAGTTCATGAAAATGCAAACCGAAGGTAGTACGAACAGATTAGATAAAAGAAGGACTGAGCTATAAACAGGCCAACCTCCACATCCATTTCTCAATCGATCCGCTCTAGCAGGGCACTCCATCCTCGTACATGCACGTTGTGATGCTCCCTCGATTATATGAACTCAATAATTCATTCAGAGTGGTAGGCTTCCATGCTGTATTTATTGCTTGAGAACTCCCGCTCAAGCAAAGCCTTAATCGGATTCGCGAAGTCGAGCAGCTGGCACCTCGTTTCAAACACGATAAACCAGCCGTCCTTTTAAAATGGAGTTTAGAAATGTAATGTGCCCCAGTTGATTCACAAATTATAGTAAAATCCATCGGTGTTGATGATTATCTCTATGAATGGTAGGTTGAAAAGTGTGAGTTGGTTTATCCATTTCCACCAAATCCATTTAGCGTCCATGAATAACCTAGAAGCCAAAGTTCGTCCCTGAACCGGTGGCAATGTGTTTTGACAAAGCACTCGAAACTAGTCTCCCAAACGTGGGTCCTTGAGACTTTCGAACAAGCAAAATCCAAAATTCGAAAACCTACTGCGCGTGCAAAGTCCGCATAAAGGCTTCATAACGCCCGGACTTCCCATTGCTTTAAGCTCTTCACAAAATTAACCATTTGTAACTATTACTAAAAAAATAAGTCAAGGCACAAGTTTGTGGTGTGTTTTTTTTTTTTTTTTTTTTTTTTTTTTTTTTTTGCAAGTAATCATAGAAAAGCAAAAAAAATAGGGTAGGTCATAGTAGTTGTCCACGCACTCTCAAGTTGGCGTGCGCCACTATCCTGTGGAGCATGCCATGTAGCAATCTTGCAAGATCACCCCAACTTAAGTGACCCACACTGCCCACAACGGTGCGCCACAATTCAGGACCCAAGATTACGCCTCTACAGGTAAAAATCCACCTAAGAATTTGTGATTTTTAACATTATTTGCATGTTATCTAGTATTCTATAACACAACAAGAGATACAAGAAAAGAGGAGATTCCAAATATTTTTACCTCAGTTGTACCCCAGCAGAGAAGAGTGGGCAAATCAAAGCCGTGTAGTGCAAATGGGAATTCCTCGTGTTGGATATGAACTTCCCATAATTCATACCGTGACTGACCGTGTCCTAGTCATCTAGGATCAAATCATTGGGCACCCCAAAGAAGCGCGAATCAACAACTTATTCTCGTCGAGGCAAACCTATAAGTTACGCCGGTTCGAAAGATGCAGGGAATTAGAGAGTGTGGAAAAAAAAAAGTTCTTTTTCCCGATAAGTTTTTTACGGCGTATTGATACCATGGACAGATTGCAATGTCAAACTATTCACCTATCTCTAAATAATTCTAACTATAAGGAGATGTTCTAGAAGGCCCAATAAGTCTTAAGCCCGATAGGCCCATTAGTAATTGGTACTTAGAATGGGCCTGCTGCATAGCGAACAATCCCAGCTCCTAGTGCCTTAAGCTCGGCTCAGAATAATCCTCCCATTCAAAGGTCGCCACCTAAAGTAGGTAGGCATCCACCGCTGGGCCACATAGGTTAAGTGTTGCGCCTAACAGTATGTGAATTTCTGTTCGTTTTGCAAATCCCAGTGCCACAGCCTATTCACAATTTGCTCAATAAGTTCACTTGTAATTGTCTTTCTCACTCAAAATACGTCAACACATGGTTTTTATTGTAAAGCTATCTCATAAATTCTTATGCAAGACTTCTCGTAGACGCTTCACGGACGAGCATGCCATTGGAAATTAATCACAAGAAACTATCTAATACGGTTAAGCCCACTAAGCCAAAGGACCTCACTTCCATAAACATAAATTGCATTTTGAACAACGAACCAGGCCCCGGATTGCGAAAAGTGGGCACAGTTTCAGATTTAGCTCAGTCCCAAATGGCCACAACTATTAGCTCGTTGCCAAGATAACACACCTGTCAAAGTGACAAAGTGCGTCAATAAGAACATGCAAAGTCGCAGTTTAGATCAAGCCTAGTAATTTCCCTTCAACAAAATCATGAGAACAAGAATACTAGGTGCCATGGCACCCATATAGGCCGTCCCAAGAATATGGGTGCACCTGAGAGCCGCATAAAATGGTTCACCTCTAATATGCCACGCTAAACCAACTAGGTCCATAGCACACCGGCCGCACAGCGCAATCAGCATTCACTCTCCACTAGTGCACATCTTCCTCCATCCTTGGCCTGTCCAAAGTGCAACCCGAGTCTAACATCCGTTAACATATTTTCTAACCGCCTCCCAAAAGCCGGGCCAAACTTTAAACATGGCATCCAGTTCCATTCCACAAGCGGGCCAAACAAGTAGTTCACCATGGGTTGCCATTACCCTCCCATCGCTTTATCGTGTCGAACAAAGAGTTCGGACTACCAGCTTCCAAAGTGGAGTGTTGTCATTGGTTTCACACAAAGCCGCCAACGGGACAGTCAAAAGTTAGACTCGCACTAGGACATCAAGAACACCAAGGTTCATAATTCTCCTGCGAAACCGGAACGACGAGAACTGAAGAAGAATGGCAATCCTCGCATCAACAAAGCCGACTGTGAAATGGCCACACTAAATCATCGATGCTAAGCCAAGTGTCAAACGAATGCCAAAACAGAGATTCCGAGAAGGACTCGCCCACACAATGTCTTAAACCAGACACCGACAAATTCAACAACCGCCAGAGCGTAAGTATCGCCTAATACTTGCGCGTCACATTAACTCTCCTGATAGAGCAATATTGCTCAAAAAGCCAGAAATATACAATCTCTCATAAGATTGATAGGGAACAATAACTGTAGCACGCTCAATTTTTGCCCCTTACAATGGCTTAGTGATAATAACCTTCTTTTTAACATAAAATTGAATTGTGTTACACTTCAATTTAACGATCGTATGATAATTCTACTCTCCGAATAGTAAAGTTGGCTAAAGAATATATGCTGCATTGTAGCATTTTTTATCAAAGTGGAGGCAAACTGTAGACGCTCAATTTTTGCCCCTACAATGGCTTAGTGATAATAACCTTTTTTTTAACATAAAATTGAATTGGGACTCCCGATCGTTGTAATTCTCAAACCGATGGTCCGTGGCTAAGATAATGCATGTATTTGACCAATTTTACTTTTTCGGGTTTCCGGGCATTTTGTAGCGAAACTGAGCTTGGGAAGTGCTTCAGGTCCACTGACTCACTTCCCAATGCACTGCCTTATTTTGCGTGCCACCTAATTCGACTCGGTAAAAATGGGCCAGCTAGAATTTTAGGGCCCATCAATGGCATTTGCCACCTAGGCCCTAAAATTAGGGCAACATCCCCATTTGCCTATAAATAGACCTTGGGATTAGTGCTAAGGGAAGGATTTTTTAGAAAGCTAAGCGAAACTCTATTATTTTTTAAACTCAACTTCTAATCAAAGAGAAAACTAGTGTTTCTTCTTGGATTTTTAGTGTTGTTCATTGATCTTTAATCTCCCTTATTGCTAATCTGAGAATCCACAAATACATCCATTTTATCTCAATCTAAAACTTTTGGTTCAAGAATCAAGCTTTTGGGTGTTCTTTCATTCAATCTCCGAAAAAAACCTTTGGATTCTTTCAAAAAGGTAACTTTTAAGAGCCCTTAAAATCTCCTTCCATCATTTTTTTATTTTGTATGAAATCACCTTTTCTTTATTTAGTTGGGAGAGAAATCCGTGAATAACCAAAGCTTCTGACTGTGTCAAAAGGGGCACATGCCCCTACGTGTGGCGCATGCCACTTCTCCCATAGTTAGAATGCCCTGTTTTTGGTTCTATGACACTTTGATCTAGGTAAGTGCCAAGCGCCACTACATGTAGTGCACGCCCCACCTTATGTGGCACACGGGACTTTGTTTCAGGGGTTCAAAACGCCAAAAATCAATAAAACGGACTCGATTCAGAATTCCATTGGTTAAGCACCAGGCTTTATTGTTCTAGATTGCATTTTTGACCAAAAATGGATTGAATAAACACAAACTAATAAGAGATGGGTAGTGACAAGTGTATTTGTTCTTCATAATGAACATCAAGGCTTTGAACCTAAATCTTGGTTAAAAGCTTAAATTTATTGCATTTAAGTTACTATCCTTAACTTTTATGCACATTTAATATTCTATCTTTTAAATTCTTGCACTTTTACTTATTGCTTTATGATTTTATTGTGCTAACCCATTAGTTATTATTTTGTGTACATAACATGCATCATATCTCCATTGATTGAATGAATGTATGTTTTGTGATTTTGTGAATGTTTATTACTTCTATGTTTATTATGTATTAGTGATTCTTCAGTGCTTTTCATTTATTATAACCTTAATATAAAGGACCTTAATGGGTCCTGTTATTGCTAATTTGTACTTAATTAAGGGCTTTGGGAATTTTTGGAGGGTAAATGGATAAATTGTATTTTAGGAGATAGGTTGTACTCTTTTCTCCTCTCCCCCTTTCTAGATGGTTTAATTTATGTTTTATGTATGAGATGATATGCATGATTGCTATGATTTCCTAAAATTGCATTAAAACTGATTTTACACCTCAATTTAAGTTAATCCTATTATTAATTATTGTGAATTAATGGAAAACAAGGAGGTCAATTTAACCGGACAGTTCAGGCGCCTAACAACTTCTTGACACCGTTAACTCCCTTACCCAGTCTCTAGTTTAAAATCGAGTTAGTCAAATCCAAAGAATCGACTAATTCGATAATTTTCCTTAAAGAGGGTGGTGACTCTAAAAATAAAACTCTTACCAATATAAGAAACCTTTTTCGAGGATCAATGAATAAGTGTAATAATGAAAACTAATTTTCTTAAATAAAATCAACTAAGCCCGTTCAATTTTCCTTTAGCGAAAAATAAGCATCCTCACTTCCTCAAGATTAATTGGGCTAAACCATTACGGACACCCTCAACTTTACAACTTGTAACAATTATACCCTAAAATAAACTTAACTCTCCAAACATCCCAATTTGAAACTTGTGTAAAAATTTCACTCTTAATTACAAATCCAGTCAAAATTGATATTAAAATATGATAAACGTGGGACCCATAGAAGTTAATTAACCCAACTTTGGTTAGCATGTTTTAAACGACACCGTTTTATCTTTTTCTAACCCAAACCTAATTCTCTCTTCTTCAACTATTCCTTTCTCTTTCTGTCTCTCGCTACCATGGCTCTTCTTCATTTTGGACTTATGAGCATGGCTGCTGCAAGTGGCCGTGGCAAATCTTTCATTGCTTCTGCAAGGCAAAGGTTGTTGTTGAAGAGGTGAATTTTCAGCCTTTATGATTTTTTTGTTGAATTTGGTTTCTGGGTTTTTTCGAAGTTTAATTTTTCTTTTTTAATGGAATGGGAATTTACTGATTTATGGAGGGTATTTGAATAATTGTGTTATTTTGGCTTGTGGGTACTCTAATTTGAACTGTTTCTGTAATTTTTAAAGAAAAAGTAAAGGATTCATGAATATGTTTATGACTCTAGAACTTGGACGGCGGTGGCAGTAATGGTGGTAGTGTCGGTGGAGTTGGGAGAGTTCAGAGGTAGTAATATTTAATGATCAGTTGTTACTTTACTGAGGACCAAAGAAATCGAAGAAAGAAAGAGGCTAGACCGCTAAAGAATGTATAAGCAATATGCCTCATTGCGCGGTTTTTGTTTACCGTGGTGTCACTAGGTACATATACATGAATTTTTGCGAGTAGAAAAAATATAGCTTTTTGGTTGAATTTAATTAAATTTAACTGTTAATTAGTTATAGCTTGTTTCATTGTTCTAAAAAGCATCTGAAAAAGAAGCAACTAGAAATGATTAGGTGATTCTGTTAGTAGTTTTGTGAAGTTATGATCTCATTTGTCTAACTTTAATTTACAAATTATAAGCCGATATCATTTGCAGCAGATCTTATAGAAGAAGAAGCAGCCATTGAATTTGTTACTATCTCTGATTGACGAAGGAGGAGTCCAAGGCCCAGTTTTTGGCTCTTGTTGACAAAGAAGGTCCAAAAACAATAAATTTATTCAAAGATCCCAAAATTTACAGTGCAAACACAGAGTAATGCTTTTGGTTTTGTGGTTCATGGAATAGACATGATGGATTGGTTGATACGAAGCAGTGCCATTTAGAAAATGCTAACTGTAGTTGGGTTAGCTAATTTTTATAGGTCTCACGTTCATTATATTTTAATATCAATTTTGACTGAATTTGTAATTATGGTGTAATCTCTATGCAAGTTTAAAATTAGGGTGTTAAGTTTATTTTAAGGTGCAATTATTACAAGTCGTAAAATTGAGGGTATCAGAAATGGTTTAGCCAGATTAATTGTGTATTTAAGAATGATTAGGAGCATTGTAGATAACAAAGACATAAAATTATGTTTAACTACCTCGTTAAATCTCTGTATGTTTTTCTATTTTCTCTAAAGTAATGTAACCTGGGAAGAGTAAAAAGAGTAATAAATAAGAAAAAATTACAAATGTCCCTATTTGAGGCCAAAATTAACTATTATGTCTTTATATTTTTTAAAATATATTACTTTATTCCAATATTTTGATTCCGTCATCCTATTCTATGATTCCTTCAAAAAATTCAACTTTTTATGTTAGAAAGACTTGTTAAAAGGATATAGGTACCCGTACCTCCATATTAAATTTGCATTTTCTATTCATATGCTCTTGAACCAACCAATAGAAACATCTCATGGTTAAACGAAATTAAAATGAAAATAATTCCACTTGCAGAAAATCAAAGTGGTTTCTTAGTTGCAAATCTCATATCTGTTCCTGAAATTCAACATACACCTCCAATTGAGAATTTTATTAAAAAAGAAAACAGCAAAAATTTGCTATCCATGCGTTCATAAAATATAAATTATGTCCTTTAGATAATCCAAAGCACACCAACCTAATGAACATCCGGCCATAGCTAATGCAAATTAGAAATGGAAATCAAGTTACACTTACCTTATGAGCAGCAATAATCTGCATTAAAATATTGACCTCTTGCAAATTCTGCATTTAATGAGGTCCATGATATAATGAGGTCCAATGATTATATTATATATATCCCTATAGCTTACTATATATATATTATATAATCATACAATACATACTGTGTAGAATCGTTTCTTGTTCTGTTTACAGATATTCTTGTTTTGTTTACAAATCTATTAAAGAGCGAGAGAGAGACCAAAGGGGACGGGGCCCCGAGAGAGAGAGGCGAAGACCGCCCGCGAGACTATATATACACATACATACTGTGTAGATATGGTTCTTGTTCTGTTTACAGATTTATTTTTGTTTTGTTTACAAATCTATTAAAGAGAGAGAGAGACAAAGGGGACGGGGAGAGAGAGGCGAAGAGAGAACAAACAAGAAGAGAGAACAAACAAGAAGGGAAAAGAAGACGAGAGTATTTCAATTTTTTCCTTTGAATTTAACTGTAAAAATAAAAATGGAAAAACAAAATAGTTGGATGAAAATCAAAATATAAAAAAAAAAAAGCGGTGTATTTTAAAATATATAAGTATAAAGTAATTAATTTTGATATAATATGAGGGTACTTTTATAATTTTTCCATAAATAAGAGATGAAATTTCCATTACCAGCGGAAAGTGTTTTTATTACTAATCGGATCAAACGGAAGTACAGAAATGGAAAATCAAATATCTGAATTAATTTTTTTTTTTTTTAAATGTGGCTCCCATTGTCACAGCCGCTACTGCGAAGGATTTGATTTTGACCCGAGAGGCTGTTCGTTTGCCTCTTACAAATTTGATTTCTCAAAGTCTCGTGCAAACACAAACTTTCTTACTCTCCTTTGCCCGAAACATCATTGGCCTCAGCTCTCTCAAACTGATAAGAAACACAAAGACAAAACAGTAGTATGTGGCCTTCTAGGATCCACTCAATGCAAGACTCCCACATGTGTTGTCTGTGTAAAGAGAACCTTCTAAACTGAGCGCCCATACATTTTATTTGTTTTTTTTATCCGTTTTTGTTGCTTTTTTCAACAAACCCAGTTGGTTATTTTCAGTCTTTCCCTCTATTTTCCTGGTTGTTATTTGGCTTATGGGAAATTGAACGGTATTTGTTATCTGGGTATTTGATTTGAGGGTGATATTTCATATTTGGTTCTTCTTGAGAAATGATGTCAATGACATGCCGAAGTATTGATTTTGGAAGGACTCTGCTTGATTTGGCGGCTTGTGGGTGTTCCTCCAATGCTTCAATAGACAGGTATTCAGTAAGGAACTATGCCAAGTTCGCTTCTACGACTTGCACTAGAAGGTTGCGCTGCTGCCGGCGAGATATTGCTCGGTGTAGAGTTTCTTCCACAAAGACCCCTGAGACTCTGCCTAATGGTACTTTTCCTTGCTAAATAGTTACTAGTAGTAGTGATTGGACCAATCGCTTTTGCTAAGTTTAGTTAACTAGTTTTGGCTTTATTATGATATATAGAACGTGATTTTTATCCAATTTTGTTTCTTTTCTTCTTCTTGTTATTTGTATAGGAGTTGCTCAAGGTCCTGTAACACTTCTGGATTTGAAGGAGTCAAAAGGCCCTATTTCATTGAAAAATTTGTTTGAAGTGGTTGCTGACGATCTCCAGACTCTTAACCACAACCTCCGGTCGGTGAGTGCCCATTGTAAATATTCTGCCCGTTGGGTGTTGATGATACTTGCTGTTGTATTCTTTAGAATGTTAATTATAACATTTTTTTTTTTTGGCTGCAAATTATGATGCCTGTAAAGTTTTCTCTTATTAATGCTTCAAATTTGTGGTTCACTATTTGATAGAGCTTTCAACTATTCTTCTCTTTATTTTTAATCTCTTATGCATTATCATATGCTTCATTTTAGCAAAGAAAGTTTGATTTGCCTCCTTCGAAGTTCATTGCTAATAAAAAATTGAGCTATTGCTTATTTTATGGGTTTACACTCCTATAATGTAATTAAAGAGAGAGGAGGTAGGACAGTTAGTGATTATGAAGTAGCATAATTATGATGTGTTATATAGTGAAAAATATTGGTGGTATTATTTTTATTGCAGTTATAGTGGTAGGTGAGATGCCTTTAATGTTTGTATCTGGTTAGCAGTTGGAATATTGACTTTTGTATAGCAAGCAGAGGCAACAGCTCTGTCAAGTCTGTTGTTTTGGCTAACAATAATTGCAGTCTTATGGAGGATTTAGGACTTCTAACGCTGCAAGTACTATTTAGATCAATGAGGTTGAAGATGAGGATTGAATTGAACATGCTTATGCATTTTCCTATGTTCAGAACAGCAAGAATTTCTCTTCATAGTTTTATATGCTACTGAAATCCTATATAGGATTCCCTTGATGTATACTCAATATGCAAACCATGAATGAGGGTAGTTGTAGGCAAGTGATTAAGTTACAGCTGCAAATAAATTAGCTTTCACTAGTTCAGACTTAAGTTGTAAATGAAACCATCCATAAATGTTTTATTTTTTAAATAAATTTATTTTAAAAATCTCCATATACCTGGTATTCATTGTACGTTTTAATAATTTATATCTAAATACTTAGGATTATATTTTAATTATATATTATAGATTTAAAAAAAATCTAAATTATTTAATAAACAATTCAAGTATCTATGTGCATAATTATAAACAAAAATTCATATCTTAAGTTCATATTCATCAATAAATTTTTATTTGAGCTGACTCACAAACTTACTAGAGGAGTCAGTTTGCGAGCTAAGACAAGTTAAGTGTTACTTATATGAGGCCTGACTCATTCATTAAATGAGTTCCAAAAGTGAGTTTGAACATACTCATCAATCATAAAGAACGAGTTTATGCTAATCTTTATTGAGTTGAGTCTTCAGTGGCTAAAGAGCTGTGTGTCTCATTTGTATTGTACCACTGTTGGCAAGTCATATTTTGTTTTATCACTAGGCTTTGAGTAGGGTCATTTTTCATTGACTATTTTCAGTTCTTGTGTGTTCTTTCAAAATAGAAGCAAAATCCTTGCGTACGTCATCAAATTGATCTTGCTGTTGCTATAGTTTAATACCTTTTGCTGAACAGTTCCAAATCATAACAAGATTACCATTCCAGTTTTTGGGAAAATTTTCAATCTTGGATTGTAGACATGCTAACATGGAATGTTTATTTCACCATTTTTATGATTCATCTTGTCCAACAACAGGAGGAATGTATTTCATTTTGATCTGATCTTCCATATCACGGAAGTTTAGTTGAATAGGGGCAGGAATTCTAGGAGTGCCGATGGAACAGAGAACATGCAAACATTCCACTTTTTGTGGAAAAAAATTAAGTCTCGGATTATCAACATGCTAACATGGATTGCTAATGTTACCATTATTACGAGTCAATCTTATCCAACAACAGGACGGAGATGTATTTAGTTTTGATTTAATCTTTTGTGTTACTGAAGTTTAGTTGAATAGGGTGTGGAATCCAAGGAGTTCAGATGGAACAAAGGACAGGCATTTTACATCTTGGAGAAATTAATTGACAGTTTCAATAAGTTTGGATGATTTGGTCTTCTTGAGAAAACGTCTCTCATTGACAAATTCACTTCTTGAAACCTGCAGATCATCCTGTAACTAGCATGGGATTCCTAGTCATAATGCAACTAGGAGTGCATAATAGCATTATCTTTTGTTAGTTGAAGAATCAGAAATCAATAAGACTAGAAGCCAACAATCTCCCACTCTTGTTGAGCATGGTGCTTTTCTTTATGAGGCCACTGTGGTTCTCATTATGATTTTTGATAGATGAAATGTCTTAGAATGTGAAAATACTGGTAACTTTCTTCTCAATTAATGTTGTCAAGCAAAAACGTCCTTTGTAATTTATGATATTGTAGTCCAGGTAGTTACCTCTAGTTGGGTCTATAAAAAAGTGCACCCTAGGATACATGTGAATGGAAGTTATTACAGTTCATTCTCACAGAGAATTTGGATTATACACATTAGGAAATGCACTTGGCAGTAGGGTGCATTTATAATATGTTGTCTTATTGGCAAAAAAAGCTCTAGTACTTCCCTTGCAATGGATATTAGGCCATGTGGGTGCCGAATACTTTAAGGAAAGATTATATAGGCACTTTATAGGTTAAGGAAAGGAAGATGATGCAAGAGAACTTTAAGATGCTTTCAATATTCTAACTTATATCATTCCTACCAACTTATTGCACTTCATGCACAAAATTCTAGTATGGCTGCATACAGCACCATTTTTTAATGGAATCAGCATAGTTTCTAATGTTTCTTATCATTTTCTAACATATCTGATTAGGATGCTCTGTTAGATTGTTGGTGCAGAAAATCCAGTTTTAATGTCTGCAGCTGAGCAGATATTTGGTGCTGGTGGGAAGAGGATGCGTCCAGCTTTGGTATTCCTAGTGTCAAGAGCCACTGCTGAAATAGCGGGATTAAAGTAAGTTTATTTGGTATTCGTTCCCAAGTGCCCAACATTAAATTGAATAGAATATTGACATCCTTTGTTGCAGAGAACTTACAACAAAGCATCGTCGCTTAGCAGAAATCATTGAGATGATCCATACCGCAAGCTTAATACATGATGATGTATTAGATGAGAGTGACATGCGAAGAGGTAATACTAAGCAACTTGAAAATTTTCAGTGGTCCCACTTCATAAAAATAGCCCAGTAAATTAGAATTTCCAGAACATATACGAGTATCTAATGTTTTTGAAACACCGACACCCACTCCTAAGTGTGCTTGGCATGCACTAGATTGTTGTGTCTGATACTATGGCCTATACTGCTACGTTATGCTGGCAGATAATCAGTACTTATCTTGTTATATTGTGTGATGCTTACGGCAGATAATCAGTACTTATCCTGTTATATTGTGTGATGCTTACAAATGTTCTATAGGGATTTTTTTTTTTTCTGCTGACATTTTCAATCTGGTCAATAGCACTACAGTCATTTAGATTCGTGTTTCATCATCATTTGCAGTTTTATATATTGGTTCACTATGTCCTATGGTTTCAAAATGGGAGGATTAGTAAAGGAGTAAGCTGAAATGTATCCTGTGGGTACTAGAAATTCAATATTTTCATTGAATAGTTCCCATCTTTCACCTAGCCAATCAGAGCCGAAAAGGATGAGTTTTAGCTGGAAGCTTATAGTTGGATCCTTTTGAAACTTCCTATCTTCAAATGACAATAGCTTGTCAAAGCAATCTCAGTTCTTTGGATATGGGAATTATCTAAATACCTTGCAGTACTTTTAAATGACAGCACATTTATTAAGTTTTCATTCTGGATGTTCTTATACAATCAATATTAAAGATCTAATACTTCCCCACTTAAAACTGAGTAGCCTATTAATTGTGAAAAGATATACCACTATAGATGAGCTTTTTGCTGCCTACTTGAAGCTTAGGGAGTAAAACAAATGACATCAATAGTAATGACTGCATTATGATGTGAATGATACATATCATGCCATGTATAGAGCAATAGCTGATGTGATAATGCCTTTGACAAAGCATTAACTGCTCGAATGCTTCCATCTTGTTCATGAAGCCTCTAGATCCATATTTGTGCCAGGATATACTTTTCCATTTAGTTTTATTGTTTCTTTTTCCTTTTTTTATTTTTTTATTTTTCACCTGTCTTTCTTACCTTTGATTTCACCACTGCTGTGTTGCAGGAAAAGAAACTGTTCATCAACTGTATGGCACACGGGTAGCAGTACTGGCCGGGGACTTTATGTTTGCTCAGTCCTCGTGGTACCTAGCAAATCTAGAAAGCATTGAAGTTATTAAGCTCATTAGTCAGGTAAGTCTGCAACTCCACTTGCATGTATCCTAAGGTTATCAGAAACCTATTACCTATAAATACCCTTATAATTTGACAAAAATGGACCAGAAGCAACAGCAACTGGGTTGATTGTACTCTTCTCGTAAACTGAAGTTGTTCATAGTTCTATTGGTTCCTCCTCGGCAGGTTATCAAGGATTTTGCCAGTGGTGAAATAAAGCAGGCATCTAGTTTGTTTGACTGTGACGTTAAACTTGAGGAGTATTTGATCAAAAGCTATTACAAAACGGCCTCCTTAATTGCGGCTAGTACCAAAGGAGCAGCGATTTTTAGTGGGGTGGACAGTAGTATTAGTGAACAAATGTATGAATATGGTAAGAATCTTGGACTATCCTTCCAAGTTGTAGATGATGTACTGGATTTTACACAGTCAGCAGAGCAGCTGGGGAAGCCGGCTGGCAGCGACCTAGCGAAAGGGAACCTGACTGCACCTGTAATATTTGCTCTGGAGAAAGAGCCAAAACTAAGAGAAATAATCGAGTCTGAATTCTGCGAGACAGGTTCTCTTGACAAAGCTGTTGAGTTGGTTAAGCACCGTGGGGGAATTGAAAGAGCTCAAGAATTAGCAAACGAGAAAGCTTATCTTGCAATTCAGAGTCTTAATTGTCTCCCTCGGGGTGCATTTCGATCAGCCCTTGAGGAAATGGTGTTGTACAATCTGGAACGGATTGATTAGTTAAATCTATCTTGTTCAACGAGTTACTATTTGATGGGAAACAAATAATCGGCAAGAATTACTGTGGGCCGGTAAGCCTAAGCTTGATTACAAACTGCAGTTACTTCACTTTTACAAAGTACAAACTGCAGGAGGAGAAAGCTACTGGAGACTGGTTTTATATGGGTTAAGTGTTAAATGATGATTCAGCTCGTAATATTGTTTATTGAACTACAAAGTTTCACTGCAAATTGGCCCGAAGATAAACAACACATTTTTTATATGATACAGATTATGATCATCAATAATGTCAAGCTGCATAATGTATTTTAATTGATTTTGTCATGGCACTGTTATACACATTTACTGGTGAATGGAAAATTTCCTTGAACCTCCATGTTCTTTAAGAGGGTTAGCTTCTTTTAGAAAGGTTGCTCTCCATCTTCACATCACAGTTTGGCTGGAACTGTAAATGAGCTTGTTCCTGGTTATGATCTACTCGATATTTGCCTTGATAAAAATTTGTTTGATGACCTTAACAAAAACAAATTGAGTAGGGCCAAACTTTAGCTTGCTTATCGAGAACGTACTCAGAATTTTGAAGTCAAGCTATTGTGGAGCTTGAGTTCAAGTCCATAAATGAACCACTTTTTTCTTTTTTAACTATAAACTTAATCTCGCTTACAATCCAAATGAATGAGTCGAGCTCTGAGCTTTGCTGTTTTTAAACTAGCTGAACTCCGAACTTGATTTTCAAGCTCAATTATACCTTTAACAGCCCAATTTGAACTCAATATCACTTAACTCGAGGTTAATTTTTACAAGTTTAGTTGAGCTAGCATGCATTTAACGAGCCAAATACTAACTAATAACATTCATATATTCTAACATGAGAACTTATTGGGTTAATGAGACCAATGGTATGAACCATTCAATGTCAGATATCTTTGTTTTTCAATCAAGCGGTTGAACTACTAAGAGTTCATTTAGGTAACTTTTAAGAATTCGTTTTTTGGTGTCTGAACTTCTAATTACCAATTAGAATTGTTTAATAAATGCAGCATTTTGATTAGCATTCAAAGCTATAGGTTTAAACTAACAAAAAATAAAAAACAAAAACGAAATTCTTATCCCAGACAAATTGTTGCACGTACTGGGCCACAGTAGACTTCTCATAATAAGTTCAGGCATCGCACAAAATGCCCAATTGCCAGTGATTCTGATCCATACAGAAACATCTAACAAATATTTCTTAAGAAGAATAAACAAAAGGAAAAAAAAAATAACAGCATCAAATAAAATCTTACCTGCTTTCAATGAGGGCTGAAGGCGAGGAAATAACAAGTTGGAGGATAAAACTCAATGATTGTATACATTTCACAAGGTACTGTCTGGACAGGGAAAATTGGTATGTGCATCCCATCAACGAGGATGTTACACTAACTGCCAAAAAGAATATAGTACAAAATTTATAAAGACTTCATAGCTCTCCACCAAAACCAACTCTCAAGGCTTAAGGGGAAAAAAATTGTTGGCAAGACTTTGAACTCAGCCCTTTCATCTCAATACCATCAACTGGGAAACAACCATCATAACAATAACAATGATAAATGGAAAAAAGAAAAAAAAAAATTAACAGGTGCCTATTGTTGCCACTGCCCCACTTGCTTACAAGACAGGGTATAGAAAACCCCCTAGTTGTTGTCTTCTGCAAAAATATGTTTTACTTTCATCAATTAGTCATACAGTTTACACACAGGAGCTCCACCAGCAACTGTCAAGACACTGCAAAAATGTCAGCAAAACAGTAAATCCAAGCATAATGAAGCCTGCCAAGCCCCAAACATTAACATTGCATGTTAAAATAATTCCAAATGGAGTATAATTACCTTCTTCGTTACCCATTCGACTTAACAAAATAGCGCAGGATGTCACTTCTCTTGGCTAAATGACCTGAGACGTTTGACTAGATCTTCTTTCAATGATTCAGGTATCTGTGAGAGAAAGGTTGATTTGGCCTCTGCAATCAAAACCTTCCTGCATCACAAAAGTAGCTAAGGAATTAGGAATAGACTTTCCAATCAACGGCAAGTTACAATAAACAGCTCATTATCAAACTCAATTTGTATATGTAGACATATATATAAAATACTTCTTAAGATATGTTGCGGTAACGTAATGAATTAAGCAAACTAGTGTATCTGGAAGGGAAAAATTTATACATAGGCATCCTGTTGTGAGTCACAAATTCAATTTGTTGCCCTGTGATTTCCAACAGGACACTTGATCCTTGATTTTGCTTTTAAAAGTCAACTAGATTTCCTGCCAAATAGCATCACAAAAATTTCATGTTGCTTCAAATGTCTACACGCAAGGTGACACAATGTTAAGTGGACCTCTTAGGTGTCTTGATTTGATACGAGTATTCATATTCCATTTAAGGCTATAAAAATGAAAATCAGTTTCATCAGGTGAAGGAAATCTAATAAAAGCAATCCCATAGCAAAGAAAATCAAGAAGAGATTATTAAAAACATAACAGCATCAGACAAAGCACAACCGTCCCAGACACAACTAGAGCAGGTGCAAGTTAAAACAAAGTTATGACACTAAAAACACCTATTTCATTGACTTAAATATTTATTATTTTCTTAGCTGATCCAACACAGCCATGATGTAGATTACTCAAGTCAAACAGTGTGTAAAATAGCAATGAGATGTTAATTGGTTCACAACTCTAATAGCCTTTGGTAGTTTTTGTCTCATCTCATTTGGGAATCAATATCTCATCTAGAGACAGAAAGAAGACAATCCTGCTTTTAAAAACTACATTAGTTTGTTGCAAGCTCTTTGAGATATTCTCTACATAAAAAATTGATAGACATAAATACACCTTGAGAAATTAACTACAGTATAACTCTGAACTTACAACATTCCAAAGTATACAATTTACATAAAACTAAACAAGACTTACTTTAAGTCGATATTACTAGGGACGTCTCCTGCTTCCCGTGCGCATAATCTTTTCCTCGAACACATAAAACTGTATACCTTACTAGACCAACCACATGATTGCAGAACCGAGAAAGCTTCTTGCTTCAATCTGATACATTAATAATAAAAAAAAAAAAAAAAAAAAAAAAAAAAAAAAAAAAATCTGATACATTAATAATAAAAAAAAAAAAAAAAAAAAAAAAAAAAAAAACACAAGTGAAGCAAGTAAATAGAAATAGGCAACATGACGTAACCAATAGCTAAAACGCACAATGCAAATAATCTAACATTGGCAACTTGCTAAGTTGCAACGTCTTTCTTTAGACACAGGCTGATCTATCGAATTGGCCATCAACATGAATTGCTAAACACGATAAGCAAAGATACATGTAGGCCTTAAAAAAAAAAAAAAAAAAAAAAAAAAAAAAAAAAAACACAAGTGAACAAGTAAATAGATAAGGCAAACATGACTAACCAAATAGCTAAAACGCACATCCAAATAATCTAACAATTGGCACACTTGCAAGTTGCAACGTCTTTCTTTAGACACCAGCTGATCTATGAATTGGCCATCAACATGATTGCTAAACACATACAAAGATACATGTAGCCTTTAATATGATAACTTGGAAGTCTGGCAAAATTTCAAAATCCATCATTTTCAACTTAACCAAGTCTCAATCCAAATTCAGCTTTTGGAAAACTTCATAAGCATATATCAACAAAAGACAATAAAGTAAATGATTTGGCAAATTTAGAAATTAGTTTTGCTCTAATTAGCATGAGTTCAGTAAAACTTCCTTTTTTTTTCATTTAAAAGAAGAAGAATTAGATTACTAAAGCAGTTGAAATATAATTTAACGTACACTTCTTTCAACTGTTCGACTTTGGCTCGAGATTGAGCATCCTGTGCAAACAAAATGTAAGAGTCCTTCAACTTTCTCTTCAACTCTGGAATTCCAGAGCAACAATTCACTCCTTTTTGCAATTCATGCTGATCAGAACCTTTCTCGGCTTCAGCCTTGCCCATAGTACCATTAACCACATATACATTTGGCTTTACTGAATTAAAAACACAATTTTGAGGAACACCATCTTCACTTGCTGCTGCAATTACTCTGCAGTTATCACCGTCATCAACTTTTTTATTGTTGTAAACACCATTTCCATTTGTTATTGGTGGCATATCTTCACTGATTTTCTCCATAGAACCTGTGCCTTTTGCAGTCCCATTCATTTTCATGTTTTGGTTCTTGAGAGTGTCAGCCTTTCCATCAACAGCGGAAGGAACCCTCCTGGAGCCAGAGGTACCCAAAATATTAAACCTTACCCGCGGACTGGAAGGCACTTTATCAACCTTAGACGTGGATTGAATATCCTTATCCAAAGATTGTTGTTCAACAAATAGTTTTTTTGCAATCCCTTTAGTTGGAAGGACTTTTGGGTTCTTAGATGCCTCACTCCCATTGAGATTGTATGATTTTACTCCATTGGCAGTAAAAGGGGCACGGGCAGATAATGACCTTTGGTTAGTGCGACAGAAGAAAAGAATATAGACCTTCTCTGACAACACATCCTGCAGTGTTGAAAGTGTCACAAATGAATCATTGCAGCAATACCACCGCCCCATTGCATCCTGCGCATGAATAACCAGAAATTACATTGGTTAATACTTGAGAGTTGCTTCTCAAAAACTAACATATAAATTTTAAAAAGCCAAGCAATTTTAAAGCAGAATAATTAAACCTTGATATATGAATAGTAGTGTCCAGATTCTGGCGAGTATCCCGAATGGACAATGGTGCCAAAGAGATTATACTCTGGTCGTGGATCCTAGTATTGGGGAAAGAAAATGAAACAATATAAGATGTCCAGAAACCAAGCACTATGATATCAAATGTAACAAGCCAAATAAACAGAACTAATTGGAATCATACTGCAGAAAAACAATATGCCGAAGAATTCAAATCTCTACCAATTACGAACATGGTATGAGACTAAAGAGAATTACTTCAGAGGATATTTTCAGTTGGCTCCTGGAAAAAGTTCATATTCTTATTAACCTTCAGGATTTTACATGCGATAAATTTTTTATCAGTCATTTCGTACATACATATTCTTAAACGGGATCAAACGGATATTCACAGCTGCTGCCATATAATATTTTTGAGAAGTTGTATAGATTCTATGCACACTGTAGGATTTGACGTATTAGTTACATGACTGCAAAAATCTTTAATGAAATAATGTTGCAATATGATGCTTTAGAAGTAAAATTTTCATGCCGAGTCAATTGTTCTTCAGACTAATTTTTAGTAGAGTTGTTAAACCACTCTTTTCTGTTTCAATTCACCAGAGAGGACAAAATTTCCAAGGTGGTGGTGATAAGTGCAAAAAGCTCTGGCACACAGTCTCTCATCACGGACTCTACAAGTCATCAGGAAGCTGTTTCAGAGGAATATTCTCTTCAACTGCATCAACTGTTATTCTATCTTTCCTTGATTTAGTTGTCCTGAGGTCATTGTCAATGTCAGGGTGCTCATTCGTACAATTTTGTTGATCAAAGCTACTAACAACAGTATCAGACGTATAACTTTAGGTAAAAGGGACGAGAATGTCATATGGCACGTTACTTAGGGGAATCATCAATTCAGGGATAAAAATAAGAGGGGCGTGGATGTAGCAAGCTAGCTAAGCTTATCATCCAGTTAGTCAAGGTAATGAAGGTCGCCTGCCTCTTTGCAAATTAAGGCGCTAGAGGCCACATGGTGTCTTTACCCTCAAGTTTAGAATGCCTTTAATAGAAAATTTCTTAAAGCATGAACATTTTCTAGGTAAAAGGACTAGAAAAAATGAACAGCAAACACATCCGCTGTCGATTGCAAGGAAACAAGATGGAAGATATAAGTCAAGAAGCTTTCACAATTTAATGGAGAAAAAATCAGTTACTTCACTGGCTTAGAAAGAGAGAGAAATCAGATAAAATAAAATGTCCTTAATGGAAATTGGAGCAAAAAGACAAAATTACAAGTAGCAGTTAAGACAGTCTATTATTATAAAGGATAACAGGTAAAGAAAATGATAACGCTAACGTAGAAAGACATAATTACAAAGAAAATGGTAACACTAACATGGTATGCCTTCCAAGTTCCATTTAGCTAGTTAATAGCAACAGTTGCTCTCTCTAAGGATCAATCGCAAAAACCATAATGAAGATAGGAAGAAAACCCTTCCCCGCTGCAACTAAGGCAACTAAACAAGATATATAAAGATATAGGCATTCCTTCCAAATAAATATACTTAATCACTAAAACAGAACATGAAAACTAAAACATTTTGGTATTTTCTTCTTACCAGATCCCTTAAAAATTCAATTTCAGTAAATATTTTTGAATTTTGTAAGGTAATCCATCGTTCCACAAATGTGTCAAATAGGTTCTGAGTCAAATAAAATGGAAAACAAGAAGAAAGTTCTGGGAAAAAACAAAAGATGAACTCTACTAAAACACAGAACAGTATCCAAAGAACGTGCCTTATCAAGGTTATTTATTGTGACAAATGAATCCTATATTAACGATAACTTTGGAGAAGAGCATAAAATTCCAAACATGATTAACCAAGTTATAGGGAAAAATATTTCAAAATCGAATAAGACCATAAGAATAACTTGGAAAAAACACTAAAGGATTCTCCGTCGAACTTCTTTTTATCTATGCTAGATGAAAGATATTTAACAAGAATATTCAGCAACAATTCATCTTTCAGTCTTTGATATTTTGAAGATATTTTTCATTCAATCTCAAAGTACTTTTCTTCTGCTTAAAAAGTCAGTGTTGAATATGATTAAATTCATTCCATTTTAGCTGCATCTATGAATGAAAGTCAACAGCTAAGCACATGGTCATTGAAAGTGCAAGGCACAAAGGGTCCTCGAGCCTAGCACAAGGAACAAAGCACAAGCACTTACCTTAACAACATGAGGCAAACAGTATAAAAAAAAGACACATAATAATAAAACAACAACAACTACTACTACTACAATTAAATTCTAGCATCAATCATCTTGGAATCCACACAAAAATATAGGTTTGTTTTCAGTCCATATTTCTACATACAATGAATTAGAACAATCTATAAAACTAATATAGTAAAAAGAATTTGAGTAGAGAAACAAGTGGAAACTGAAGGTGTTTTGAGATTTCTTGATTGGCAATGGAAGTGTGGTTAGAAAGTTATGCATAAAAGGTAATCACCCTAAGATTTGGGATAGTAACAATCTGTGATGCACAGAAACTCACCCATGGGAATTTCTGCATGTCCATTTCCCTATATAAAATACTGTTTCCCCATGTAAAATTATATTTAAAATGTAGTTTTCCCATTGTTCCCACATTTTTGTGTTTCCATTTCTATGCAACATAGGTATCAATTGGTTATCATCAGGAGAAAATTGTATATACATAGTAATAATCCTAAGGTTAAGGACATTATTTACATCAATCTTGACTAAAAGAATATTGACTTCTACACCTATATGGTAATGATCCTAACATTTGGGATATGATTTGCCTTGATCAATTAGTTGACTAGGGTAAGATAAAATTTTTAACATATATGATAAATATCCTTAAATTCAGGGGGATTGAAGACATGATTTGCCTAAATTAATTGTCAATATTTGATGTTTCCTTTTTCTTTCTTTTTTTTTCTTAAGGTGGAGATGTTGCATGCCTAGGAGCATGCATCGCACCTTGATTGAGGCATCTTAATGATATCACTTGCCTCTTAGGGTTTGAGGCACTAGGAGCTGCACCCTTTGCACATTGTGCCTTAGGTGCACCCTTAACAACTATGGCTAAGCATGATATATACATCAATAAAATATCAAAGATCCAAAGAATAAAACGTCATAATAGTGTAGCATAGTATTAGGAGTAGAATTAAAATTCAGATTACACCCTTAGTCTCATTAAATAATTGAGCTATTGGAAATTCAACTAAAAATTTGAGAAATAGAAGCAGAACTGTGTTCGAAATTGAGTGGAGGAAGATCAATTCCTTCCTTAAGCTTATCTATAAACTCATATCTTTCCAATCCTAGCCAAAGCCAGGCGTAAATCACCTAGATGACCATTTTCCCACTTCCCAATCTCCATCAAAACACAAAACCTCCTGTTCCTTATCTTCTTTGAAGTTAACCAGCTAGACAGGCCCGATCTGCATCTCCAAGGCATCCATCACTAGTTCTCTCTCCATATATCCTCCTCCATCATCAACAACCCCGAAAACCTTCTTTATTTATGGTAAGGACTCTTTTTTCCTGCATCATTACTTGCCGCTCTCGCTTTGGCATTAAATACGTCACCACACAACTTCCTACAGTTCTATGGATATTTTCTAAGCCGTGCATCACAAGTAAGGATTTAAATCATAGGTGTGGCCAATCTCATGATCTCAATCTTGTCATATATGAGTCAGCATGCCGCAACTCAAGTGTAACAGTCGCAGCCGGTGCAATGGAGAATTTTCTAAAAAAATTCAAAATATAACTAAATTTATCAAAATCACATGCTTTTAATAGTTCTAATATCCGAAAACAAAGTATCTAAACCAAAATACACCATATCATTTTGAAATTTTTGAGACACTACTAGTATAAGATAGCACTTAATTGTCATAGAAAATTTTATAATTAGTATACTCCTATCCACCTTAATTGTTGTCTTCAAAATTGACAGTCAGAATAACAAGCAGAGAATCTGTAAAACAGTTGGTCCTTGTGTCGCTCTTGACCAAGTCAAGTAGCGGGCAAACCAAATGCAAAGAGAGAAGGTCAGGTCACACAGGAATGGGCGAATGAAGCCAATGGGCGATACACATTGGAATATAAATTAAAATCCTACTTGGGAAAGATGTTAGTAACCCAGCATGTATACAACATGGAGTCAATGCACAACTCAAAACTCTATAGAAAAGGTACACTTTCACATAACCACGAGATTCAGTTTCCTTGCAAATCTCATTATCACCATCACTTACTTGAGAATCAGATTGATTCCAAGCCAACCCCATCTTTGTCTAACTCACAGGTCATAGTCATCAAGCTTGTGAAGACCACAAGCAAACCACCTACAACACCAAAAATATACTATGGAACTTAAAGTTTACACCAAACTGATTACTTCTTTAATGTCTGCAACACTATATTTAAGTAATAATGACAATGGGAGTGAAAAGCCATATAAAACACTAAACTGACCTAAAAGCAGTGTATTTAGATGCCCAACTTACAGGGGAAAAAGAGGGCAAAAATAGCAAAAAGAAAAAACCATTGTTGAAAGTAAAGGCCAAGATTTCCCTAACCTTTTTATTTCATCGCATAAAACCAATGCCACCCCATCTTCTCTACCCCGCCACATCCACCTATTATTCATTTTGCTTCAAGACTTAACTAGTTAGAATGATTACACATGACAAAAGGACTACTCCAGAACTTGGTGCTTATTTTGTATGAACTGGGAATCTCCATTGAGGCATTTGAGTAGATTATTAAACAAATGCTGAGATTCTTCCTCAACAGTTTCTTCTTTATCATCTTTTGTTCTTTTTCTTGGATTTTTCCAACACCTCTCTATCTACTTCTCTAGTTTCTAATCCTCTTTTGACTTTTTTTCGTTTCGTTCACTTGGTAACTTAAAATGCTCTAGCTGCAGAATGCTAGGGACTTTTTCCAATGGATTTCTGCTATAAAAGTGGACTTAATAGATCAGTCTTGCCCTATAGTGACATCTATCCTTATTGCCACCTCTTTTACACAGTCAATTCAGCCCCCAGACTTTCAATCAGGATGCTGGCAGTCACTGACCTTCTATCCTTGGTTACAAGTAGAAACAAAAGCATTCTAAGACAAAGCTTTGCTTGATGTCAAAACTTCTTAGCTTACCTTACTGGATTGAATTAGGGTATTACTCTAACAGTCTAATTTACTGCTCGCGATATTGGACACGACTTAAGAACATGGATATGGAATTAGAGAGCTTAGATTTACCAAAAAACATATTAATGTTATATTGATACAAACACAATCCTGACGTCAAATAATCATTTCATATCTTAGGCTGACTTGCCAAGCCAAAACTTACATGCTTATGTCATATATCCATCACATATAACTCTTCATTCATATTGAATATTATACTTCACAACATTCTAAATGTCAAAGATACATTTGCCAATTTCAAGAAAGAAAATTAAACAGTATGAAAAAGCAACTATATCTGCAGTGTATGCTATTTGTGTTAGATGGATATTATGTCTGACTGGCTTTCAGGGAATTAACAGGTTGAATGGATTACGAAGACAATGTAACAAATGTCCCATATTTTCTTTTTTCTTTCTTTTTTTCCTTTTTTTTTTTTTTTTTTTTTTTTTTCCCAAGCCAAAACTTACATCCTTATGTCATATATCCATCACATAATAACTCTTCATTCATATTGAATAGTTATGACTTCAAAAACATTCTAATGTCAAAGATACATTTGCCAATTTCAAGAAAGAAAATTAAACAGTATTGAAAAAGGCAACATATATCTGCAGTGTATGCTATATTGTGTTTAGATGGATATTATGTCTGACTGGCTTTGCAGGGAATTAACAGGTTGAATGGATTAGAAGACAATGTAACAAATGTCCGCCATATTTTCTTTTTTGCTTCGGCTTTGCTTTTTTTTTTTTTTTTTTTTTTTTTTTTTGTAGATTTTAGGCCGCAAACAATTAATCTTCATCTCACATCATTACAAACTACTATTATTACCAACGGCAGTCTTACATCAAATTACACACACCTGGCTTCCTTTACACATGAAGCTTGAAAGTACTAGAACTTCTTCGAATGCAATAGCCTTATCAATCTTACCACCAAATATGCCCTCAAATCTCTAGAAACACCAAATATAACAATTACTCAGTTTAGCCAAAATGAAACATGCTTGAAGCAATACAAACTCGAAAGCAACAAAACAAAAGCACAAGATGACCCACCTTCAGTTGGATTACCAAGATATTAGGTGCTTGCAGAATTGACATTTGTTTCCTTGCTGTCACCAATTTCTTACAACTAAACAAACATATATATCCTTTGTAAAATACAATACAAAAAGCACTAAATCGAATTTAAATTAAAAGCACAATACATGCTACAGGACGAATTGCTTACTTTTCGCATCTATACTTATTACTGCCATCCAAAATCTCAGGTTGGAAGAACTTTTGCATTGCCTCTCTAAGCGAATTACTATGCAAAACGTCGAGACTAATGTCCATGATCTCATCAACCTTATTGGACTCGGAATTACATGATAAGCACTTGACCTGGCTCTGCAAAGTACCGCCAAATATCTCCTTAACGACAGAATTACTTCCACTAGCAGAGTCATTCCCCTTCCGCCGCAGTTTCATGAGTCTTAAGCAGGTATTATGGCAAGCATCAATAACATAGCGCAAAAATTCATGTGCATCCTCTTGGCGACCGCCCCGGAAATGCTCGGCAAAAATCTTCAGACAGCTCTGGATCTTAGATGGGGCATCCAGCGTTTGGTCTAGACTTAGGGACCGAACTATCCGTTTCTCAAGTATGCAAAATGGACACTCCCGCTTTCGGTCACCGTTGGAAACAGAATCACCTGCCAAAAAGAAAAAAGAAAGCGTGATTAGAATTTCGCCATTAGAGCAAATTAAGAAACTGGTAAAGAGAAAACGACATACAGAAAGAGGAGTGTTGTAACCGGAGGCAGAAATTAGCGAGAGGAGGAGTATAAGTAAGGCACTGAAGGACGCTATTGAGATAGCAAGAGTTGCCGAGATTCTTCAACCCTAAAGGCGGTCCGTTCTTTCTTTTCTGACTCAATAAACTCGGCTGCCAACTCATCTGCAATTGCAATCCCATTCATCAAGGTGATGATGATGATGATCTCCTTCTTCCAACTTCATTTGAAACGACAACCTCTGTCAAGTCGTTTCTCCCCGACACCGACTGCTGCCGCCGCCGCGTTAAACCCAATCGCATCGCGAGGTTACAATACAAAGTAATAATGGAAATGGAAATTTTGGTTTTTTTTTTTTTTATTTTGTGTTTTCAAATTATGTGGAAAGGGCAGACACTGCAGAAGCAGCCCTACCGATCCCCAAAATTTAGTTATTTGATGATAATTGCCAGCCTCTTGATTCTTCCCTTCCCTCCTCCCCTCTTTGATTTTCTGCCCTTGTCTTGGCGTTAATTTTATCTTCTATTTTTCAGTATAAACCAATTTTTATATCTTTTATTATTGTTATATGTATATGTATGTGTAATACAGTAGTCGGTAACCAACTCCGTAAGTTCAAATTTTTACGGGATATTTTAACAAAATTATTTATTATTACTCAGTTTTTCAAAATACGGTATTTTGCCTCTATGTTTTTACTATTATACTATCGACTATATTGAGCAATAGCTTTTGAGTTAAATTTTAATATTTTGATGAAATCAAAAACTCTCTCCACTCGATAATGTAGCTTTAGAGTTTGAGAGATCAATTAATTTTTTTTTCAATCATATCCATTATTTTTTTCTTTGAAATTTAACTAAATAGTATCTTTTTTTATCATTTTAAAATAAATACCTATTTTACCGTCCTCTATAAATAGCTACCAGCTCTAATACCTAAAACAACTATCACAATAATTAATAGCTATTAAAATAAATAATATTTTTGAACATATCCATTGTCAATTTAGTCTAAAAATTCAACTTTTTTTCTATTAAGTGGCTTGTGGAAAAACACAAATATACTTAAGTTTCCTTAAATTTATGTTTTTTTGCTAAATTTAAAAAAAAAAAAAAAAAAAAAAAAAGGCGTTGTGGAAAAACACAAAATATACTTAAGTGTTCCTTAATTTATGCTCTTTTTTTGCTAAATTTTAAAAAGAAATAGAAAAAACAAAAAAACTAAATTATGTTTTCTATGAAAACATATAAAAAAAAAAAAAAAAAAAAAAAAACTAAATTATGTTTTCTATGAACATATACAATTCCTTGAGTAAACCAATCAATTTGCCCTTGTTGCCAGCAAGCATTTAGTTTTACTATAAAGAAGCATAACTCTTATAACTGTGGGTTGGTGTATTTGTCATGCTTGCATTTTAAAAACAAAGCAGTAACCCTCTGTTTGATTTGTGTAAACTAGGAAAGAGCGGAAAATAAGAAGTAAAAGTTTATGTATTTTACAAAATACTCTATTTGGGAAGGAAGTAAAGTTATGGATAAATGTGCAATATGCCATGTTTTACTCCCCAAAATAGGAGGAAAATAAGGTTAGAATAGGAGGAAAATAAGGTTAGTAAGGTGTAAAATTTTACTGTTAACTGCTAAATTACAGAATTAACCCTATATCTTCATCCAGTATCCACCACTTCACTTTCCTGAAACACCTCCATCGACAGTCACCCTTTCCTTCTCAAGCTTCACCTAACGAATCTTCATCTAAAATCAACACCCTAGCCAAAATTTTTAACAAAGCCTCAGTATGAAATCGTTTTCCAAACCATTTCAGTTTAATCAAGCCACTCTGTGATTCAAAAATTGAAATTTTATTTTTGTCAAATGTCTGGATTCTTGCTCACTATTCCTTTTCAACACTTCAAAATCATGAAATTTTAAGGTTCCTTATTCAAAGGAGTGAAGTGAGACCAAAGTGACTCTCGTTTTCTAATAGTTGTTTCTCTGTCCACTATTGTCGAGTTTACCACACTTTAGATTCAAAGATTTTTCAGTTCTCTAGTTGCCATTTTTGAGCTTTGTTCCCTTTATCTATAATCTAGTCATCTTTTCTCTGGTTGCATTTTCGAATCTCTGGTTGTCCTTGCTCATCTTTTCTCTTGGTATCTCAATTGTCACTTTTCTCAAGTTAACATTATTTTTCCTCTTTTCTTTACCTACTTGTCTATGATTGTTATTAATAAATCTTTTTGCTCAATTACTTGTATTTGACATAATAATAAAAGGAACTCCCATCATTCAGTTCTGCAGGATTGGACACTACTAGTCCCACACCTCGAACATATATAATTATTTAAACATTTTAAAATGTTTATTATTACTTTTCCAAAAATAACTTAGAAAATTTTTTGGAGAATTTTTACAGAAAAACTGCAAGTGTTTTTTCTATATTTTCAACAATCCCAAAATGAAGAAAACTCATTTAAACACTTCTATGAAATCTACCAACCCAACTACAACTTCAATAAAACCTCACCAACATAAAACACAACATCATCATCAACATGTTAGTTATATGCGCTATAGCCATTTTGATTGGTTATATTTTGGATATGATATTTCATGTAATAAATATTTTATTATTAATAAAAGACATTTATTTATTTTTTATATTCTATTAAAAGAATCTCGGTAAAAGATAAAGTTTATGAGATGATATTGCTTTGCGAAATAATTTATAATGTGGTTATAATTATGAGTTTTATTTTGCATTAAAGCAATGTCTCTAAATATTCCTGGTCAATATTCTCCTCATTAATGGACAATGATTAGAGCTGTTGAAACTAGTACATATTCTTTCCTTTGTGAAGGGAAGTTGTTGTTCTCATAAGCTGAGACATATATGATATCTAGAATTAATAGGTATATGCTTGTTATTTGAAAAAGTCTACTGAAGCGACCTGCATGAGAATTCCATATGGAAAATTACTCAATTGATGGTTGTGCAAATGATCCTATGACTTGAAATTACTAAGCTATCTTGTGATACGGATCCACCACCACCAACCACCTATGGAGCTCAAGGGAACAAGAGCCACAACAATGGCAATCCATTAGCACTTCCTAGTGGACCATGACTTGAAATTAATAAAGCTACTCTGTAATTACAGGATCCACCACCTACGCAATCCACATATGGAGGCTTCAAGGGAACAAGGAAGGCTCACATAACAATGGCATTGCGGAGGTAAGCACTTCCTAGTGGATCCTAATTACAATGGAAGCCGTACAAAGAAGTAATGGAGCAACCATGTCCTTACACATTCAAGAATAAGTCACATAGAGCTCCCAGGACCTTGCTTTCAACAAGTGCCTTATGAAGAAACTTGAAAGAACACATAAAGTTTCTCACATTAATATTAAAGAAGCACAGATTTTGAGTGGGGAACATGAATGGTTAGGCACGCCTCGTGCTAGAATGGCAACACCCCAGGCCGTGCCCGTCGCTGACTTGCCTGAGGAAAACAACGTGCTATGAAGAACTTGAAGGAACACCTAAGTTTCTCACATTAATAGAAGCACATGTTGAGTGGGAACATGAATTGGTTAGCACGCCCGTGCTAGATGGTACACACCCAGACCGTGCTTCCCTCTGCCTCTCACGAGGGAGCTCCTACATTGAAGCATGCCCGTGCCAAATAGCACACCCAGGCCGTGCTTCCCTCTGCCTCTTACGAGGGAACTCCTACATTGAAGCACGCCCGTGCCAAATAGCACACCCCAGACCGTGCTTGTATCGGCCTCTCATTAAGTTAGTTAGCTTATTTTGAGTTTTTGCTTTGTTAATGGGTTGGGCCTCCAATATTTCGGCCACCCTTGATTAGTTAGCCTATCCTTAAGTTATTATGAAAATTTTGTTTGTGCAACTCCTTAGTTGGTTTTAGGATTTTGCCTAAATCCTACTCCTTAGGCTAACTCTAAATCCTCTAAGGAAATCTGGACCTGCTTAGATTAACGTAAAAATAGCTTGTTTATTTTTGGTTAATTAATTATTGAATTATCTCAAATCAAATAAAAGAGAGATTTCCCATTCTCCATGCCTTTGGCGTGTTCATTGGTTCTCTTACGAATGAGATTGCACATTCATTGCTAATTCATCAAGAATCCAAGGGTAAAACGTTATCATATTGCATTTTGTGGCGGTATTTATCTTTATTTCTACTCTAATTGAATTTGGTGTTCTTGCTTCAAAGGTTAAGCTTTGGGTGCCATAGAGGGGAATTTGATTTAATTCTGGATCTCTTCGCAAAACTTGTCATAGAGTTCAATGGAATAATAATTTCCATAAGGGTCCCCGTTTGTCAAGGTCTTGGTATTCAGAGTCCAAAAAAGATTAAGGTATATATAATCGTATATTATCTTAGTTCTATGGGCTTTTGCTGTCTAATTACTTGTTTTACTCGTTGTGTATCTTATGTTCTTGTGTTTTGTTTTCTTCTTCATCTTGTTTTGTATATCTTTTTTTTGTGTTTTGGCGCGGTATTTATTCTGTTAGCGCCTTCTCTAATTCGTTTTTTGCTTTTTATATTATAATATTAGTATATTTTCGTTCTTGTTTTTCAATTCCTGGAAGTTTTTTAGAATCGTTAGCACTTCTTGTTTGACACCCAAAAAAACAAAAAGAGTAAAAGAAAATTATACCTCTTCGGATCCACACATATGAGAATTATGCTATGGTAGTGCGCATGAGAGAAAAAAAAAAAAAAAAAAGAGTATAAAAATTTTCGTCCACCATTAAAAGTGCTTGTGTGGATCTTGTTTTCCAAGGGATTTTGATCCTAATTCATAGGGATTTTACCTTATTTTGTGGGATTTGACCATATTTTGTGGGATTAGCTCCTAATTCTTGGGGATTTGACCTTATTTTGTGGGATTATTCCTAATCCTTAGAGATTTGACCATATTTTATGGATTTAGTTTATCCACTATAATCTTGTGATAAAATCCAATCCTAACTACTTGTGGATAAGATAACAAGAATTAGTTGACCATATCTTTTGAGATTGAGCAAAATCTACTACAATCTTTGTTAAATCTAAGAATCCTACCTAAATTGGGTTGCATTGAAAACTACAATTCCTTGTCAATCTAAGAATCGTAACTTAAATTGGGTTGATGAAAAGGGAAACAAAGGCAGCACGCCCCAGTGCTTCACCTCAAGCCCCACCCATGCTAGTTTATGACTTCACTAGTTGGACTAAGGCTTAAACGCACGCCGTGCTCCATCTATGCACGCCTGTGCTGGTTCTGACCCTAGTAAGAAAAAGTTTGTTTTCTTTTTGGTTTTTTCTTTGATTGCTTGCTTTGTTTTGGGTAGAATTATTAAGATCCAATTTGGTTTACATTGTAGTAAGCGCTAATTCATACATTAAATACCAAGTAATTGTCTTTTAAATCCTAGTTTCTTATTTTTTGTTTAAACTTTCTATTGCTTCCTATTACATTGTTAGGGTGGTGTTTGTTTGTTTTAACTAC